GCTTGGATAGTGTTTTGCGTTTGCTGACCACCACTTGTAAGGACTGTTTCACACTATGACCAACTGGTCCGACCCGACCAATCCTATAATCAGATCGACTAGTAGTAAAAACATTCACACTGAGTACGATTATATGTCAGTGGCTGATTCGTAACGACCAATCGGAATGGGTGTTAGAAATCGTTTTAAGTTTCTCTAATTTTTAAAAATATTTTTGTAATCTACTTGGTTAAACTTTGTGGAAATTATCTTACTTCATTTATAAATTCTTCCGAAAAGTCTAAATAATAGACTACCATCTTTTTCTCATCATTACGTCGATAATGTTTTCTTATATATATATTAAAGTCATATTTGTTCCCATATAAAATTTAAGCAGTTATGAAAGAAATAAGGTACAAGGAAAAATTTAAATAAATTAGAAATATATATAATATAAAGTTGTTTGATTGATTCGATAGTTTTCATATATCCAAACTCTGGTTGTAGTTTCGAAGCTCTCATTGGCTGTAGTTCACCGACTGCTCCGATCCGACTACAAATATTTAACTTCTTAAATCTGTCCGACTGGAACAACAGCAGTCGGTTGCCCGACTGCTGTTATCATGGCAACACGACTTGAAGTCGGACCAGTCAGTCATAGTGTGAAACAGCCCGAAAGGTCTGCCATCCGATCTAGGCGAACAGTTTTGCAAAACAGTATCCAAGCCTGACAGAATTAACTAAGATTTATCTATCGTCTCTCGGCATATAGTGAGAAGCTATTTTCAGAAGCAGGTATAGTTTGAGAAAAAGCACAATCGTTTGCTATCAACAAATGCTGGAAAAATTGTTTTCATTCATCACAACTTACCACTGATAGATTTTAAGTATTAAATGTAATAATTTGTGATTAAAATAAATATGTGCGTGTTTTTTTAACCATGATTTGGTATTTGGCCGAATAGTATGCAACATTCAGCCGAATACTGAATATTAAAAAAAGTGGCTGAATACCGAATAGTAGCCGAATATTCGTGGCATCTCTAATACAAACAGTGATATTTTTTAGTAATAAGAACTATTAGTAACACAATTTGATGTAACAATGAACAAATAATGCATGTTGTGACACGATATACTCGCAAATAAAACAAATGAGCTCGTGGTGTCACTACCGCACCCACCACAATGAGACAGGTCATAACCTGTCACCCACGAAATGTACACATATTTTGCCAAATATTCGGTGCTTCGGCCAAGAGTGTAGCCAAGTATTCGGTATTCGGCAAAATCACTATTCGTGGCATCACTAGTTGACACACACAGTAATAACACAGCTTAATGTTACATTTGTTTGGGTAACTATGCTTTGACTTTGGTCTGGCATAACACTTGGCCCAGTATCAGCTGAGCATGATATTTGCAATGTAATAATTATTTATATGTATAATTATTATTATTACTACCATTATTTTAATTGTAAGTTTCATGTATGTTATAAGTTTCATATATGTTATGTGTATATATATATTCTAACAAATGAACTATTGAAAACTATATGAAAAAAACTATTATTCTAATTATATAATCCATGGAA